CTGGCCTTGGGTTTCCACACTGGAAAAGGGTCAGCCCAGCTCAGTGCAGTGTCTGTGCAAACACTCTGAGCCATGCAGGCATGGATGCCGGGATTTTTCCTTTAGCAGCATGCGCTGGCCTGTCTCCAGATCCTTGGTAATCTCCATGTCCAGTGCCTGATTTCCATTTATCCTAAATTTGTTCAAATCCTGGGTGTAATCCTTCATTGGGGTGGAGGAGCATAATTCTATTTATTGAACTACTTTTCCATAATTGCATTTGCCTGCGGCTGCCTCTCTAATCTGCCTTTCCCCAAATCTCACACAATCATGCTGGAATCCATTTACGGCCACATATGCAGGGAGGGAGCCCAAGGAGGCAGCCGAGCACACGTGTGCGTGTGTGTGTGTGTGCGTGCACACATGCCCGTGGGTGAAAGCAGAGTGCTTAGCATGGCTAGTCCTGGGCCGCAGCTGCCTCCGGTGCTTGCCCGGCTAAGCCCTGCCTCTGGCTAAGCTCTGCCAGTGGCTCCGATCCCAAGCAATTATGTGAAGGTGCTGTGTGCCAGAGTTGTCCGTTCTGCTTCAGAAGATGCTGAGCAAACGGCTTTCTCTGCTATTTGTTCATACCTACCTCCCAGAGTGAGGTTAACCAACAGGATAAGAGGTAAAGCAAGGCCAGGCGATGGTTGTGACCTGGGGAGTCCTGTCCTGCTCCGTCACAGCAGAGCAACCGTCCCACCGGCAGGACCCACCTGCAGGAGCTTGCTGCACCTCCAGGCAAGGCTACAGCCATTTTGCTTCATCCCTGCTGAAAGCAGGGAGGTCTCATATCCGCGAGGTCCAGCTGTGGCTTGGGAATCTCTGTTCCTTGCCCTGCCCCCATGCCCGCACGCGGGGCCCAGGGATGCTCTGCTGCTGGAGCCAGGTGGGAACTCTGTGCTGTGGGTGTCCTGCTCCCAGTTTAGCAGCACTGGAGGCAGGGAAGCCAGCCCGGGAAAGCTCCACAGGGTTTCTTCTTCCTGGGAGGTCTCTTGTCTATTCCTGGAGCCACCTCAAAGAGATTTTGCAGAAGAGCACATGGCCCTTGACCGTGCAGTTTCCCTTGGATTATGAGGATGTTGAGCAAAGATCGCTGCAGAGCTCTGCTGGTCCCCCACTCCGTGCCTCCCGCAGTGACTGTTTCTTCCACCCTGAAGAGATCTGCCCCTGCTCCTCCTCTCTGTCTGCAGCCCCATCAGTCCAAGAGCAAACACACCAGAAAGCTTGATAGGAGCTTGCTTGCAAGAACAATATCCTACAGGGATGGAGCTTTGGCTAGGTGCTAGTATATAACGTTTGGCTTCACAGTTATTTTTTGTCTGTTTGTTTCTTTAAAAAAAAAAAAAGCAAGCAAGAGGGACTAGATGACAGGGGAGGAGGGGATCTCAGCAGAAATTTTGATAGGAGCGTTACAGCCTGCCAATGCCAAAGAACTGGATCACAAACTTTGTTTAGGGGAAAAAAAAACCCACAGAAAAAAGGTCCAGCATTTTCAGAAATAAATGTTTCCTCTTGTGGATTTGAAGTGCTTCCTTAAATTGCATTTTTAACTACATTAGAAAACAAAGTCAGAATCAAAGTGAAGTAAGCTGGATGATGCCGTAAAATTTTCAAACAGTTTCTCTAGATGGGGAATTCGGACATTTTCCTATTCTAATCCAGGAACAGACAAATTTTGGATGCCTGCAATTCTCTGGGGGCTCATCTTCCCATACTTTGCTCCACTCTTCTTGAAGGATGAGAGACACGGAGTCTCAGAGTGAGTGGCTGCTGTAAGGAAGCGGTGGTGAAGTGCCCTGTTTTAAAGGGGTTTGGGGCTGTCAGAGATTTTTCTAGCTCACAGGCATCCAAAATGTGAAATTATCATCAGAACAGAGCAAAGCATGGCTGTGAGAGGCTGAAGGCTTTGAGGGCCAGGTGAGTGCTGGGGAAAGATCCCACAGTCCCGCTTTGTGGAGACACTTTT